CACAGAGCCTGACCGCCCTGACCTCCAGACAGCTTCCCAGTGCCCCACAGCCCAAATAGAACACCCCACATAAAAATGGCTGTGTGGAGTTTTGTTTTGTGATAAGTGTATTCGAAGCTGGTCATAGATGGGATGCTGCAGATGGGGATTTTGTCCTTTTCACAGAAGTTCAGAAACGTTTTGGACGACGACAGGCATGTTCCCGCAGGAATTCATCATTGGTTTTCCTAAACGTGTGAAAATTAATAAAGTCACAATCCACTGTTATTTGGGTAAGACTTTGTGTGCTGCAGTAGGTAGTATGTAATGTATTAAAACATGACTGTGCCTATATGTAAGTTGTTACTGTAGTTACACATTTTGTTAGTCACTTCTAACATACATAAAAACTTAATTCATAAAGCTTCACTTAGCTTAACAAAGCCATCATCCTTCACGTCCAAAGTTTTTCATAAATTAGAAAAAGATGGAAAACCTACCCCACCTGCACTTGCTTTGGTCTTGATTTGAGCCTGTAATTACCTGTTGCACAGTAATGGCTGTTCTAATTTAATAGGAGTACAGTACTTACTCTTATTTGTTTTGAATATAGATTGCTATAATTTTGTAGGACAGAACTCTCCTAGTGTTTTTTTAAATAGTGTGAAGGATAATGTGAGTTCTAAGCCAGAAGGGACTGTTACAAGGGCAGAGTGTGGAGACAGGAGCTTGACCATTAGAAAAGGCTACGCAACAAACATGAAAGCTTCAACCTGGAACGTGGGGATGATGGTTGTATTGCAGTCCTGCTCCATAAGTTAGAGGAAGAATGGATTAGTTCATGTTTTTGAAGTGCTTTGTAGATGCAAAGTGTTGGAATAAATAGAATCAGAATTTGTGCTGATATTTCAACTATATTTTTCCAGTGCGGACCTTACGGATTGAAAGAAGCATGTCCAAAGACCCAGTAGATTTTGAACAGTGCATTGAAAAAGGTAAGATCCTGAATGTGAAGCAGTGGGGATTTTGTGAGGATAATGTTAATCTTTTACAGTGAGTAATTTTAACCCTATGTCTGTTTGTTGAGTAGTTGTGTGACTTGATGATTATTTTATTACATATTAATGTTAATAGTCATGTTTAAATTAAGTTTATGAGCATTGCTGCTCTCTGTAACAGTTTGGAGATGTAAAATGCTTATAAGGGCTAAAAGCACTACTTGTAAACTGGCTTTTATGCTGCAAAAATTAAAACCAGAATTCATAGTATAAAAGAATGCTATTTTCTGCATTGGTTGGTATGTTCTGCTGGGTTTTTTTAATGCCTCTTGGGCAATATTTTATAAAAGTGTAATGAGTGAAATATTTGCATACTGAGCTACTGCAAAAAGTTATTTGTTCTTTTAAATCATCTTGTGAAAATAAAACAATTTCTGTATGCAGTGTAAGTATGTGATCCTTAAACTCTCTTGAACTCTGAAGTCCAGTGAAAACTTTTCACAGTGTTGCACATTATTCTTCATTATTTGCTTTAAAATATATTTTCTAGATTTGCAACACACAGAAGGACAGCTTCAAGTGGAAGAATTTCCAGTAAGTATTTACAATGTACATGAGTAGTGGTTCATGAAATGGGATGTCTAGATCTACTGGGGCAAAACTAGGAAAAAGCAAAACATATTTTATTTACAATGATTGCTGAGCTGGTGTTAGATACAGGAATTTGTAGGTTGTGGTGTGAAATTGCATTTCCCGACTGCTCCTTTGTAGATTATGGTATGAAATTGCACCTGCCACCTGCTCTATGTGAAAGAGCTTTTTTCTCTCTTGTGGCAATCTCTCCTCCTTCGGTTGTTGCCTTTGAGGCTGCAGTATTTGGGAGGGATGATGCTTTTCTGAGTTGCTATCTCTAAAGAAACTCCAAAGCTGTCTAGCTGTATTAAAAAAAGTCTTATTTCTGTGTAATTTGAAAGCGGACACAGAAATATGTAGATTCTTCTGTCTAATAAACATCTGCAAATGTTGTTTGGTAGTTACAGAGAATGCAATAAGTTTTTTTTTATTTTCCTTTCCTTCTACAGCTTCCTGATTTCCAAGCCACTTATTTGCGTTTCATCATCAAATCTGCCTTTGATCATTTTGTATCAGTGCACCGGGTGATGGCAGAGGGCACAGAAGAAAACACTTAGGTCCAGATTAAATTTGTACCTCCATTTTTTTTTTTATAAAGAAGTTACATTTTGGTATCTGTACTGCAGAGAGTATTTATTATTCAAACCTTGTATTAAAGTGTGTTTTGAAGGTATGGATGTAGTATGTTTTCCTTACTGGTTTCATGTATGGAATAGAATAGAATCATTTAGGTTGGAAAAGACTTTTAAGATCATAGAGTCCAACTGCAATGCAGTAATTGCAATAGCTTTCTAGTTCTATAATGTAAACTTACCCTGGAACACTTGAACATAACTGAGTCCATTTAAACTAGTATGTTTATAGGAGGCTCTCTTAATATAGGAATTAAAACTCGATTTCCTGTGAAATGTTTCCCTTCCACTCTGAGTTAGGTATCAAAAAAAGGTATGAAATACTTAGATGGGAAGTATTACTTAACACTGTCAAACAAATCCTTCTTAAATTGGTAACTTTGTCATTAACTCAAACTGTTCTAGAGTAATAGGTTGATTATAAACGTTTACTAATGCTTAGAAGTAACCCAAGGGAAAGCGGGAAATAATCTGAAGCCATATGAAGTGCTCTGATTTTTTTAATAACTGTAGATCAATCCCTTGTTCCTATAAATATGTTCCACAATCAGGTCACAGCCGTCTCTGCTTTGTGCTGTGACTGTCATAACAAACATCAATAGAAACAAGTGTTGATACAGATGGTCTTATTCAGAAGCCTTCCAAAGTCAGTGAACATTCAGGAAAATGGTACGTAGACAAGAGCAGCTTAATAAGGTGAAGCTGCTGGTTCTGCATGCCAGTCGACTTGTGCAAATGTCATCATCCTGCACTGTATTCCTTACAAATGGAAATGCTGGGATCTGGTGCTGATGGCTCAGTGGGTCCAGCTACTCCTCGTTACTGCATCTGGTACAAGTGGAGTGAGATACCACAGCACAGTAGTTGGGGTTGTAGTGCTGAGACTTGACAACCTCCAGACAAACACATAATGAACCACATTACAGACACTCTTCAGATACACATCCATTATTCTTCTTGTCTCTGTTGTTACTTTTAAGTTATTTTTTTTTCTTATGTCTCTGAAAAGTAATTCATTGATCTTTTTTAACCAGTCTTTACTCTGCAGTTCTCTTCTTTTTTCTACTTCATTTTTTCCAGGATGGCACGTATTTCCTGGGGGTGATAATTCCAAGGCCCCACTCCTCCCTGCAAAGGCAATAAAATTACACAGTGATGCTCAGGCAGACAAAGCAGAAGTCCTTCAGAGCCCAGCAGGTGCACCAGCACCATGGGCACGTGTGCTTGGACTTCCTTTGCATGGTGGCCGTTGTGTGGGAGATGGTGTATGCATAGGTGACACCCTGTTGTGTAACTGGGACTGGGCCAAGGTCTGGATCCTGGAGCTGGAAAGCGTTCCTGGATCTCAAACCATAGGTGTATCAAGGTTTCCTAATGAGCCAAAAGGTAAATATTTGAGCAAGTCTGAGGTGTATGTCAAATATGTACATTATAAAGACCCAGGCTGGTTTTGCTGCAAGTCTTTTTCTCTCCACAGTTACAGTGAATTGTGAAATTTTTAGCTCTCAAATGGAATTAAATACTGACTCTTAAATGTATTCTCAAACTATTTTTCAAACAAAAATCTCAGTATCTTCTGCTTGTTATTACTGTTGATATTTTTTACCTTGTAGATGACCTTCCCTCCTTGAAGTAGGTACAGTCGTTCTGGCAGTGCAGCATATTTTGAACTGCTCACGTTTTCCATAGTGTCTAAAACCACTGGACATAAGGGATTATTTTTCTGAAGAAGTTGTGCTGCAATTTTTCGATCTTGGAGGCTTCTGTGATTTTTAATAACAATATTGTTTTTAAAAGCCCATCCATCTAAAACAAATGAGAAAGCGATTTAGCAAGGAAGATTTTTGATGATTGTTAGGATGATGTAGTGTGCCATATCCCAAAACTGTATTAATGCTGCTATCTACTCCTAATGCCAAAACCTGCTGTGAGATGAAAGACACCCCTCAGAGTATGAGAGCACCAGACCTTTTAAAATAAATGATCCCCAAATCTACTTTTTTCTTTAATTTCAGCAAACTATATTTTCCCCTTGCTCAGGAATTGGAAATACTTGCTGTATTTTAGCTGAAATTTTTCCTCATAAATCATCTCTAGAAAGATACCAGGTGGGGAACATGTATCCTGTTTGAGTAAGTTTTGTCAAAATTCTGGGCACAGAGGGGATTTTAAAGTGGTAAGTACTGCTATTGGGTGTTATCTGTTCATTTAGCACAGTCACAACAATATTACTGTTTATTCTACTCATTAAGCCTATGAAAGAAAATCTGGGATCTGTGAGAAGCAAAACATTTGTGCCAGGACACACCTTCCTCTTTCAGAATTGTGGAAAGACACGTTTGCACACACTCCTTCCTAGTAAAGTAGAAGGTAGTAAAAGGTTTCAGTGACTGACTGGCTTGTTACCTGTTCCTCAACTATTGAAAGTGGTGTATTGTTAGAAAACCTGAGGACTGTAAATGTTACATTTTAGAAAACCACCTTAACCCTGGGATAAAAACGCTGCCAGTGCATTACTTGGAGTCCAGTGTAGGTAAAAGAGTGTCTATAGTTGTCTAATTTGAGAAATTTAGCAATGTTCTTTAGACATGTGAAAAATAAGTTGGTTTTTTTTTAAGAACAGGTACCATGCTGGCATTGTACACTTAACCTATGTTCTGTGAAGGGCTTTTTATTTTTTTTTCCTTCCAAAAGGAGCTGTACTAATACTGAGAAGAAGTTTTTTAAGGCTGGAGCTGGGTGTTTTACCACCACAAAGATCAGGGTCTTTGGCAGGGGTACCTTGGTGTGAAGTCAGCCATGTGAGTAAAAAGCTTTGGAGAATCAGGGACACAAACTGGTGCCTAAATTTGGTGTTGCCACTTTTGATTTGAGGCAGGTTCCTGTCCCATTTGCAGTCCCTTCCTTTTCTAACATGCTTTTCTTCCTAAAGGGAATGACACCTGGCTGGAGTTTTGGTAGGTTACTGCGTTGTTTGTACTGTACCTACTGCATGAGCTTCTTCGATGTAGATGATAAGGAAGTCTGCTATTGAGCTGAAATCTTTGATGAGCTTGTTGAACTCATCAAATTTTAACATAAATGAAGGTCAGGTGCAGCTTCCAAAATTCAGGATTAAAGGTCGGTTATCTGGGGGGAAAAAAAAATGGATAATTTGTGGTTAAATCAGTGGTGGGAGGAAGGACAGAATTAAATTAAGCACTGAACTGAGCTTCCACCTTCAGCTTCCACCCGAGTTTCCTGGGCCACATTAGGTAAGTCGCTTTACCCCATAACTTTCTTCTTAGGACATTAAAATCAGCAGCAGAACATCTGCATCTGTGCAAAACAGGCATAAAGGTGGTTTATTTTCCCTAGCCTGGCTCTGGCCTGGATCTAGCCACGAGCTTAACCAAGGGGACCCTTCCCTTTGTAGAGCCCAGTAAAGGCAGGAGGCACCCTGCAGTCACATGGTGTCTCTGTGTTCTCTCTTGTGTCCTCACCACAAGAGCCAGTTCTCAAGTTACCAACATTTTGGGATAAGGAAGTGATCTAAAATGACTATAGAGTATGTAGATCCTTAAGGATCCTGAAAAATGCTAAACTTCATCATCTGCAAGGCTTTGCAGAGGCCAGTGGTTCAGGGATGGACACAGAAGCAGAGTCCCAGTGCCTTTTAAGGAACCCATTGGCCATGTGGTGATAGTTGTCAGAGGTGTCAGTTCTAGCTGAGCTCAGTGGAAGCTGCAGAGTTTTCAGTGACGTCTCACAAGCTGTCAGGCTTTCAATGCATTTCCACAATTTCCTGGCCAAACAGAACTCTGGTTATATATTATTTATTAAACCAATGTTACACAAGGTACTGGCAAATGTGTCTATGCAGCTGCTTACACATTAACACGGTGTGCACCCTGAGGTGTTAGCATCTGTTTGCAGGGCCTTGATTTAAGAGAACTTGCAGGATTTTTAAGCACCTCTTTTAGTCTATGGTTATGCTAAATTATCTAAAATATGTTCAGGATTTTCCTTCTGGCTGAGCTTGACTTCAAAAACGGCTGCTAACAGATCCACATCCTAAAAAATCTAATAAAGGTGGGACCTTCCTGTAGGTATTGTGTATCTCTTATCCAAATTTGCATCCTATTTTTGATGTAAATATAATTAGAAAAGCAGAGTTAAAGGATGTAATCCCTCCTGTGGGGATCGAAACTGCAGCTTAATGATTAATTCCACATTCTACAGAGATCTCAGCAGGAGGCAGTGGACAAAGTACAAAGCAGCTGCTTTCTCTTCTGCTGTATTTCTAGCTACTGAATCTGGAAAAAAAAAACCACCATGTGCTTTCTAGGCTTTAGGATGGCCAAGGGAGTGGGTGTGGGACTTTCTGTACATACAGGCAGTGACAGACAACAGTTGTGAATCGCTCCACATGGATCCAATTCAGGGTCTTCTCTCCCTAAAACAAATTACTATCTTGGCTTCCAGTGAAGACGTCTTTCCAGGCAGAGCCAGCTTTTGCAAGAGGTTCATAAACTTACTGGCATGAAGGAATATTTTAGCCAGGATGATAAATACAGGTTATTTTTGAAAACCAAGAGGCAGACAGCTGGAGAGAGTGTGCTGCACCTTTCCCATCGCACGGGGCGGGTGGTGATCTGCTGTGCTGCCTGTCCCTGTTCCCTCAGCAGCCCCTTCTCCCAATTTCTCATCGCAGCAAACCAAACCCATCCACGCAGCTGATTTACTGACCTTGCATGAAATCAAAGAGGTGACGAACTTCTCCACTGGAAGTCACCACTGGCGTGTTGGGAGCAGGATGTCCCTCGTAGGCTTCATCCTCCAGCCTCTTCCACTTCACCTTCAGCACAAAGAGCAAATACCTGAAGCTGAAAAAAGTTGGCCCCCAGTTTTCATAGATGAATTTTGGATTTGAGTTCATTCTGCTCTTCTCGCCCTGCTTTAGGATGTATCTTTTCATGGCATTGGGAAACAGTATCATCAGTGTTTTGCCAACGACAACGCACATGATAACGTGCAGAAGGATCAGGATTTTTTGCAGGAACACCCTGAGTCTGAGCATGGTGGTGGAGGAGATCTGACCGCTTCCAACAGCAACACAGTGTGATGGCAGGGGCAAAGGTAGAGGGCAAGGGGAAGGAAAAATGTTCACGTGTTTGGCCGGATTTCTGCCTTGTCTTGCAGGCTGTCACCTCCCCGTGGACTTCAGCATCTGTGAGTGTGGAGTCTGTCACTGTGTTATCTCCATCTACACCACGGGCGTTAATGAGAGCAATGGTAGATTTTTAGTGCTAACTGCACAGTTGTGGGGCTTCTTCACACAACAGGTTGTGTATTTTACTAACACGAGGAGCTGTATCAGGGTGTTTTCCCTGAACCACAGACTAAACTCTCTACAACTTGCTAAAAAGAGGTTGCTGTGAGGTGGGGGTTGGTCTCTTCTCCCACGTAACAGTGATAAGATGAGGAAACAGCCTCAAGTTGTGCCGGGGGGGTTTAAGTCGGGTATTAGGAAAAATCTCTTCCCGGAGAGGGTTGTCAAGGCCTGGACCAGGCTGCCCAGGGAAGTGGTGGAGTGTCCACCCCTGGAGGGACTGAAAACCTGTGAAGATGTGGTGCTGAGGGACACGGGTTAGTGGTGCCCTGGCAGTGCTGGGTTAACAGTAGGACTTGGCAATTCTCAAATATCTTTTCCAACCTAAACGATTCTGTGTTTCCAAAAGTGAGAACTCCTCAGCAGTACCAGGGCTTGATCCTGCCAGCAGCTGCGTGTGCAGAGCCTGCACGTCCAGGGCTCAGCACCCACGTTTTCGCACAGAACCATCTCAGGATGGGCCTGTTCCAGAGCTTGACAAGCCTTTTGGGGAAGACATTCCTCCTAATATCCAACCTAAGCCTCCTCTGGTGCAACGTGATGCTGTTCCCTCTTGTCCTGTCGCTTGTTCCCCGGGAGAAGAGCCCGACCCTCGTCTGGCTCCAGGCTCCTGCCAGGAGCGAGCTCTGCCCGTAGCCGCCCTGTCTGCAGGCTGACCCCCAGGCCCCGGCCGTGTTCTCTGGGTCCTGCCCGGCTTCGCGTTACCGGCC